TTTGTGGAAAACACGAGAGAGAGAGAGAGAGAGAGAGAGAGAGAGAGAGAGAGAGAGAGAGAGAGAGAGAGAGAGAGAGAATCCGAAAGACAGAGAGACAGAGAGACAGTAAACAATAAACACTTCATAACGGAGTTTTTTTCAGATGTGTGAAATGTTGTTGATGTGGTTTCTTTTTTTGTGGTTCTTTTCCTTCCCCTTCCATCTGGAAACCGATGTTTGTGGACTACGACTCGGACACAAGATGACCGTAATCAGACAACATCGTCGTTTCATCCGACGATGAAGCTGATGATTACCAGTGACCACGACCATGCGCATGGCAGCTGTGACGACGTGAACACTGCCAAGTTCAACACCGTCGTCGCGATATAGATGATGACCAAATGTCATCATCGATATCGCGACGTCGGTACTGAAATTGACAGTTTCCACGTCGTCATAGTTGCCTTGCGCATGGTCGTCACCATCATAAAAATCGTTGTTGGATGAAACGACGATGCAGTTGTCACCATCGCACTGTCATACACGCGTGTATGAAGGTGACATGTGGATCTCATTTGCTTTCATGAAAAAGTAGTACATCATACAATTTGTTTATTTTTATGTGGAATGTGATCTGCTGCATGCTCTTAAAATTAAAAAAGGAAAAAACGATGGCCACCATTGTATATCGCCAACATAATGAACGAGTCGTGCTTTTCCGTTCTGTAATCCGGAGAGAGAGAGCGAGCGCACTCGTGCGCGCGCACGAGAGAGAGAGAGAGAGAGAGAGAGAGAGAGAGAGAGAGAGAGAGAGGGAGAGAGAGAGAGAGAGAGAGAGAGAGAGAGAGAGAGAGGGAGAGAGATGATGTTGAATTTTGAAGCTCGCAATATGCACATTAAAAAAGTACGTGGACCGCCAACGCACACACACACACACACACACATACACAGTCTTCCCTCACTGAAGTGCCCCACGCACACTCTAACGCCACAGGTTCGCAACCGGTCCACCGTGAACAGCGACGTGGTGGTCGACATGATCTACCAAGCTAGCCCTTATCCGCTTCGCTAGATCACTACCATAGCTAGGGTCATCCTCCACTATGGCTTGGACGTTGAGGTCTGGCAGATGTCGTTGCACTCGTCGGCGTCGGTGTCGTCGTCGACGGACTGGGCGAGGAGGGGCCCCTCCGTCGCTGTCGCTGCTGTCATCCATCAACGCGGGGTCAATCTCCACCCGGGGCCCGTGATCTATCATCAGGTTGTGGAAAATGCACACTCCCGATATCTCCTTGCACAAAGTCTTCGAGTTGGATATGTATGTGCGGATGAAATTCTGCCACACACTCTTCAAACGGTCGCTCCATAACATGTATGCAACGTTTCCTCCAGAGGGTCCACATGACCGCTCTCCTTCCTAACTTGAACATGTTGTTTGAAAGGTATTGTCAGTGGGGGAGGACCATGCCTCGCATAATATGGCCCTCCAATCCCATGGCCAGCAAGCTTCAGTACCAGCTTCAATACCCAATTAGGTTCAGATCCAATCCCACCACCGCCATGTAAGAACAGCCCCTGGGCACTTCATGAATATGTGCTCTATGGTTTCAAGGATTCTGCGGGGGGGAAAGGCAGTGTGGCATGACTTGCACCACGGTAGTTCCCGCCCCGTTTGTTCCAGGTATGTGCGATCTATCAACAAGTCATTGGTGGGTAGGCAGTGGTGTTCTATCTGCCTCAGTCCCTACATTCAAGTGTGACCTCCATCGGGCCTTCACTATATCTTTTTGGATAATTTTTTTATTTTTTATTTTTTATGTTCGCGTTCGGAGAGTTTCAACGCTCGTTCACGTTCGGTCCCGAACGTTCGCGTTCGGTCCCGAACGTTCGGGTTCGGTCACCGAACTCTAACACGATGCTACACAGGTCGATTTGTTATCCTCCTGTTCCCAAAAAGAGGTTGACGCATCACCTCCTCCCACCTGGCTGGTGAGGGATGGTCAGGCAATGGGAGTTGGCGCCTGACCCTGATCACTCGGGTCTTGAAATCGTCTTTGACCAGGTTTGAACGAGCTGTGACTCGGGGTGAGTCTCTCGCTCTATACGAGGGCACCGGAGCACAGTCCAAAAACGGTCTTCCAGCCAGGTCAGATGGCTAACTCCTTGAGGTGCCTGTGGGGCAAGTCTGGCTATCTGTTCCAGCACCAGGGCCTGTCATGGGAGGTGCTCAGTAAAAAGCAATCTCATAACCCATTGGATAGTTAATGTTGTGGTCTGAGTATCCGGGTCTAGGATCCCGAGGCCCCCTTTGTCCTTGGGTTGGATGACCAATGACCAAGCTACCCTACTAATAACGTTCTAGAGTTTGCCATTACCTCTCCGTAGTAGGGTCGTCATTGCCTTTTTAAGGATCGGACGACCTCTTTACAGATTTATGTCACAAGGCCGCTAATACTATGTTATTGATCACAAGCACTCTGCCGATAAGGGAGGTGTGTCGGCCTTTCCAATTGGCTAATTTCTCTAGAGCAGGCTTACGGATTCACTCATCATTCGATGCAGGCTTACCCAATGCCGTCAACTTAATTCCACGCACTCTAACCGGTGTCGTATCCGGGAGCCATTTGACCCGTAGCAGCTCCGGCGGGCGCACCCCTTGATGGTGGATCCACCACCCCAAGGTCTTGTTTCCCTAGTTAACAGTCATGTCTGAGACTGTCCTGAATCGCTCAAATAATCTCCTTATTTCTTCCATGTTTGTTGCAGTGGCATCTATCATAGGGTCAAGTCATCCGCAAACATCGAGCAAACTGGGATTGCGTCCTCCGGGATAGCGGAGATCTGCAGTCTCCTCAGGTCCTTATTGACGCGCAGGTTTGTTGTCAGCGCTTCCATTACTATGATGAAGAGGAAGGGTGCCAAAAGGGTCCCCTTGACGAACCGAGCTTGCAGCGGAAAAGTCGGCGCTATCCTGCCATTAACCTGGACACACATAGTGGCGTTGTGATGTAGTATTTCGGTCAAGCGTGGGAATACCGGTCCGAAGTTCATTTTTTCACACATTTATCTAAGAATAGTTAGTCCACATGGTCATACACTTTTTCAAAGTCAATGAAGACTACAACCGCGTTCTTCCTATCTTGTCTTGTTAATTTAAGAATTCATTAACTAGTAGGATATTATCCTGAATCCTACGTCATTTGACGAAACCGGTCTGCGTTGGGTGAATAATATCGTCCAAGACCGGGATCAGCCGGCTTGTCAGGGCTCTTGCTAGCATTTTATAGACCATTGTGAGCAACGTAATCGGCTGGTAGTTCCTGATATCCATTTTATCCCCTTTCTTATGCAACAGGGTGAGGATACCTTTCCCCATCAACTCCCCCATTTACCATGTGTCCAACACATGGCGATAAAAATCTATAAGGTCCGGGGTCATCTCGGTCTAGAAGGTCTCTCATAATTCCTTAGGAAATTCA